CAATGGAATCAGGGAAACAGTCCTTACATGCAAAGCACACGTAAATAGGTTCCACCTGAACCTGAGTGCTGACACACGCCACAACCAGGGATACACCTAAACACACAAACAACATGAACACAATAAGAAACTATACATTTTTTGTTTAACACCGTACAAAAACACAATGATCAGACATAACAAGTGCTCACCAATAGCTGGTTGATTTTGCTCCGACCTTTCTTTGAGGTACTTGAAGAAGCCCAGAATGGGTTTCCAAACTAAGATCGAGGGTTAAGAGAGAGAGCTGAATGAAATACCAAAATAAAGTGCATTTTCTTCCCCTAAATTATATTCAACTTGAGCATCAACACTTAACACAAAACAATTTTTGGAAATTGTGATACATTCAATCATTGTAAAGAAAATGGAAAAACAAATGCTGAGTATGCACATGAGTAGGATCAAAAGCTAACAGCATGAAGCTAAATCAGTTCTAAGATATAAAAAGATTGTATTAGATTTACAGATTTAGAGACTTTCTGACCAACATGGTTTTCTGTATTATTTTAAACTCATGACTCAAAGTAAGGAAAGTGTACCTGTTTGGTCACAACCATTGTCACTTTCATCTGCAAGAAAGAGGAAAATAATTATTAACTTAAAAGAGCTTTAACATTATGCAATCATATACAAAGCCAGAGAAATGTGAAGATACCTTTGACAAAGAATTTCTCCAACATCTGGGGAAGAAGATTGGAAACAGATCTTATGTCGGATCACATAGTTTGTAACATATCATCAATAATCAGAAATCCTTTTATTTATACTTTCTGTAGGAAGATATGAAAATGTTGAGATACCTCTTTGTGTTTTCCCTGTGACACATGTTTGAAATACTGAGCTGTTGTCTCAAAGATCATATTACAGTCCTGCAATAAGGATGACACAAGGGTGAAAAGGGTGATGTCCACTGTATTAAACGACACAATCTCATCCAGGCTATTAGAATTAAAATGTGTTACCTGACAGCATAGTTTGCACAAAAATGCTACAGAAGTTGCTGACACAGCAGGACGCTCTACAAAGAAAAAGACAAAGTATTAAGTTGTTAAAAAAAAAAACATTTAATACATCGTCTCTTCTCTGGAGTCTAAACCAGTTTCACATAATAACAACCAGCGAGCCTCAAACTAATACACTGTTATACACTAGACAAAACTAGTTTACACTGAAATCAAACATACCTAAGTTTCTTCCCCATGGTTTGATGGCCTCGTAATCCAAGCTGCTTCTCCTTCTTTTTCCTTTGTGATGGATTCCAGTTCCCTTCAAAGCTAAAAAGCCACCAGCAGGCCGCAATTATTACTTACATCATTCAGAGCGAATACAACATAAACTGAGGCACAAAGAGGGTAATACACAACCCTTCTGAATAACAAGTGGAAAATTCACTGAGTTGAATTTGGCAGGCTCCAGGTTCACTTGCTGCAACACAAAGTCATTCAGTTTCACATTTAATATGAACAAAGCATCAATTAGGAACCACGAGTGACTATTATGGTAATATGTTAGGACTATATTACTTCATATCAGTGGTTTGCAGTGCCATGAATCTCCTCTGTCTGCTTGGCAAAAATCAAGTAGCAATGGAGGCAAAGGCGGCCTTGTTGCTAATCCTTGTAGCATTCCTATTGACAGCAGAGTCAGAGGGTGGCCACGCTTTCTGCAACGGAGATTAAACTGATATTAGGCTGATGGTTTTAGGAGGCCTTCAAAGAATAATTAAGACAAAAAATGAATCAGATTTCTTCTCTGGATTGTTCAATTATTTATTTTTAGAAATATTCTCTCTAATGTCATAGCTACTTACAAACGTAACAGTAGATGTGGTCAAAGCTCAGAACGTGTTTGATGACATGGTGTGTGGCCAAAGTGAGTTTGCAAGAGCGTGGCAGAGGTAGTATCTCTTTCGGGGTCGGTCCGACAGAAAAACACATTCAACAATGTGCTGCAGGCCTACAAGAGGAATCAGAAAGAAAGAACAGAGGAAGACATTTTATTTAAAAAAAAGAAAGCTTGAGGAAGGCAAACAAGGTTCTGCTTGAAGTAAAGAATTTCATCTTATTGAGAAAAAATAAAAAAAATAAAAAAAGATAACCAAGAGAATTTTGCATCCAAAAATCATTGCTTTAATACAAAACATGTAATTAACATTAGATGATCAGGTGTTATTTTAGGTAAATTTTACTGACCAAGAAGTGGATGCTTCCTGTTGTGTCTCTTTGGGTATGTTTGTATCATTGTCCCTTTGGCTCGACAAGCTAGAAGGAAAAAAAAGATTCTGAAGCTATTGAAGCAATGGAGCATGAAGTTTGATAAGAAACGAGTGAATGTTAAGATATGATCACAGCATATACAGTATAAGGTCTATTAGAGCTTTGATCATATCACATGGATTTCTTCAACAGATGGAAGTTTTTCCATAAATTGGGGATTTAAAATTGAATTGGATTAACTTAAGCCAATAGTTTGATTGTGTTATACAACTTAAACAACTGGATCATTTGATGTGACTGAATCTTTGAATGTTACTAAATCGACTTTGTGGTTTCGGGTGAAGAATTAACTTATATATATAATACATAATTCATACAAGTAGAAACAAAACAGCTGCTGTTTTGTGTGATTTTGGTGAAGTGGTAGTCTGAACTCTACACTGAAATTCTCCCTAATCCATCTACAGAAAATAAGAGTCCCAAAGAATACATTTGCAACACCTTCAATCTAGCTCCAGGAGCTTCTCATTTTCACTGAGAGTCCGCATCACTGGGGAGAATGATCAAATCATTGTCAGTAACATACAATGTTAATACAATTTTCAATTCAATTCAAATTCAATTCAATTTTTATTGTATAGCGCCAATTTCATAACAGAAGTATCTCAGGACACTTTTCAAATAGGAGCAGGTCTAGACCGAACTCCTTATAACATTTACAGAGACCCAACAGCTACACCATGAGAAGCACTTGGCACGGGGCAAGGGAAAAAAACTTGCCTTTTAACGGCAGAAACCTCGGACAGACCCTTCGGCTCTAGGTTGGGGTGGTCATCTGCCTTGACCAGTTGGGGGGGGAGAAAGAGGAGAGAGAGAGAGAGACAGGAGAAGACAGAGAGACATGAGAGACAAACAGATGTTTTTAAAACAGCAACAACAAAATTAAATCAATTAAAAACAAATTATCACTTATGAAATATCATATTACCTTCAGAGTTAGGTACTTTGTTTCAAGCTTTTCCAGGGCATATTTCCAGCGTAAATGCAACATCTGCAAAGATAAATGTGTGTGAAAAACAGGCATAGTCAACATAGTCTCTGTATACGACAGCTGTGTGTAACCACAAAACAATGGTAAGAAAACATGGTGGTGGAGTGAAACATAGAACAGCTGCCTGTTGCATCCTTGACAATATGAAAAAGCCTGACCATGTAACAGGTTTCGTTTAGTCACACACACTCAGATATGGTGCTCTGTAAAGACAGCAGGAAAAAGCTGTAAACAGCAAACATGCTTTACAAGTCCCAATGATTGGGTCTCCTTTTAGCCCCCAGGTTTTGGTGGTCCACGACTACTGAAAACCATAATCGGGTTCTCTTATACTGCTAAATTCTCTCACTACTTTTCACCAGTTAGTTGCCAACTTTGTCTGTGTGCCATTTGTTGCTGAACAGGGTAGTGTACCACTTGGGTTTCATAGCTTTTGTCACTAAGGGGAGAACTGCCTGCTACAGCCAAAAACAACACAATGAATTGAGAGTGAACAAAAAGACTAAAAAATTGTGGGCTGGAAAATCAAAACCATGAGCTCAAAGAGCAATATGAAGCTCCAAGAGAGCTGAAATATTAACTCAAGTTGGGTAACAATTCGTGGATTCATTGTTAATATAAAAATGATGAATATTGGCTGCTTTTAACTTTTCAATATACATTTTACATTTGTTATTCCAGACCTCCAGGTACCAACCTGCAGTTTGTCCAGCGTCCTCTTTCATGGTGCTTCTTTGTGAGCTCAGGGCCTGAGAATTGACGCTTCATATTCATGCTGGGGAGCCATGAGAAACTGGCTACGTTGGGGTCTGTGTAGTTCTGAAAATAAACAAATTACAAAATAAATTGTGCTTTCAAATTTATAAAACATTTTCAATTTTGATAGTTCGGTTACTTACAAAGGTAGTTGCTGCAGTGGTCACTAGAAGGAGAGGTGGCGTGCAATATTGTCTGGGTCGACACTTTCCTCACAGACATGGCACAAGTAAAAATAGATCTTTGTGCTTAGGCTTGAACAAAGTCGAGCAGAGACAAGCCTGGAAGAAAGTACATTTAAAGAATACTTCTAACAATAATTTACATCTTCAGAGTACTATAACATAAACCCAAACAATCCATGACACTTGAATGCCATACACATTGCTTAAAGCTACATTCATTTTTCCATAGCAGCCATTTTGACATAAAATATCAAGGTAAACTGAAGTGTCACCAGTGAATACTAATTGAGGGTCTGTTCCATTGACGGTCAAAACAGATCAGGTTGCTGACATTATAGCACACGATTACATACTCGTCAAGATAATCTGACCAAAGTTACACAGAATCAAACCTGAAACTCTGTAAACAATGTGCCTGTACACACATTGAATGTATTGTCAGGATAACACACACAACACAACAACACACACACACACACACACAAACACACACACACACACACACAACACACACACACACACACACACACAACACACACACCACACACACACACACACACACACACAGCTTTTTCTAGAGCTTTCAACCATATCACGCAAAGTCTTCAATCAGAGCTTTCAACCTCTGGAAAAAGCTAGTAAGCAGACCTTGAGTAGAGATTGTTTTGTCAAACTACTATTCATAAGGTCAAGAATGTCTTTGAATGTTTAACTGTCACTGTCATGTGCACTTAAAGACAATTAACAAACCTATGAGTGGTTGTTTGATGTCATGTTTTGCTTTAGAACCCATCACAGTAATGTAGGGAAAGAAGCCTGTAGAGAAAACATAAAAATGAAAGAAAAATAATATTACACTTCAGCAGATCAGCCCACACTAGTCCAATCTTAAACTTCAAACTAACAGATGGAGTGATGTACATCGGCAAAATGACGCTGACATTCAAATGTGTTTGAACCATCTCAGTCTAAACAATATGCCAGAAGTCTTGGTGCAGTATGTTTACAACAAACTCGATTATACATTGTCCTGTCTGATCATATTTAAAGGATTTCCAAATGGTTACACTTGATGGTAGAGGTGTGGAGATTTGGACGCGTCGCAATGCGGATGCAGAAGATTCTGCACGGATGCATTGACAGACTGAAAAGAAGTTTGCAGTCTGAACACAATTATAGCCTACTAAAAATGAAACTTCAGAAGAAGATATAAATTACACTTATATGAAGAGGAAAAGTTGGTGTAAAAAATAAAAATGTGACAAAAGTGCAGAAACCCACATTACAGAATAAGTTACGACGTACATGAAGCATGTGAATGCCCACTGAATCTTCCACTTCCACTAAAACATCAAGACTGTGACGTTCCTAATATTCGCAGTAGTGGATGGAAACAAAATGATTCTTTTAATTTAATTTGCGCTCGGATGAAAACCTGATTTAAGTTAGCGGTGAGACGCTATCCTAAATGGCTTCACATTTTCAAAGAGTGTAACTTTGTTTACAAGCACCTTTAATGCTAACAAACAAGAAGGAAAAGAAGCAGGCTTACCATGACCCTTGAATGTATCTAAACAGGTAAAAAAAAAAGAAGACAGATTAATGAACTGAACATAGAATATGAGTTACAGATGTTTCCTTACGCAAGAAATACAACAAATTAAATGTTAAAAAAGTACCTTTCTGGAAGATTTCTTCAATTTTCTGTTGGTAAAGAACAGAGGAAACATGCTTAGCTGGTTTATTGATGCCCAGGCAAATGTAGAAACCAGAATACAATGACTGTCTCATGATGCAGGATTACAGTTGTTGAAGGAATAGAAGTTTATACAAAAAACAATGATAGAAAAAAAACTAAAAAACTAAAAGATTCCTCCATAAAGGTCAAGTGCCGACAGGAATATTGTCAAATTCACACCCTATTCTGATTGATAAGAGAAGGTTAAAGGCGACTGCCTGCAGTTACTTCTTATTTTTACTTTCATTATGCTTTTATCGTTTATTAATTAACCTTATGTCCTATGATAAAACGTGGGTCTCCATCAGAAAGTGAGAACTTTCGAAAGTTATAAGTATAAGGTGGTTTTAATAATCTATATAATAATTTGTATTACTTTGATCACCTTATTGCTTGGTTATGGTCTATACACTAATTTTATTTGTAGTTATGCTCTACCTATGTATAACTTATTCATCTTATTAATATTCAATCCTATCATATAACCTTTTAATTTGTTCATTATTATCATTAATATTGGTTACCCAATGTTATCCATTCATATATGATTCAAGTATGTCACCTGCTTAATGAGATAAGTTTTCTTTTTGTGATTTAATCTGAAATGGCTGACAAGTAACAACTTGCATGACCACAAAACTGCACTAAGAAAGCGAAGAACAGAACAGCTCTAGCCTATGTAGCTGTGTAGGTGCTTCCTGTGCAGGAGAGTGGAGAGAACTCAGTGGGGCGTTCTGTAAAAGGAAGCATACTCTACCGCTCGCAGCCTTGGTTTCTCTGTTCCTGTCAGAGATTCGGACCACAAGGGTGCTCGCTCGAGGGTGGCATACAACACAGGGTTTCAATCTCTTGCACTTTTGCAGACATAGAAAAAAACTGGCGAGAGACAATTTTTCTCTGAGCAATTAATACTGGACGTTTCATTCAACAGTAATAACAATAATTTGTATTATTAGTTTGCGCATCAAAATTTGGACCAAATTCTAAAAACTTGAAATTTTATGCAAGCCTATTTGGCATAACTGAACAAAGCCAGTTCAAACATTTACTTTTTTTTTTTTTACTTCTTTTCATTGGCTTTGTGAAATAATGCCTGTTATTGGTAAAATAAAAAAATCACTTAAGAGCCCCTGTCAGTGTTTTTAATTTGGAAGAAGGACCAGGAAGATCATCCCGGAAGAATGTCTCCTTTTAGCCCCAGTTTGGTGTCCACTGACTACTGAAAACCATATCTGGTTCTTAAACTGCTAAATTCTTTACTATACTACTACTTACTACTACTACTACTACTACTACTACTACTACTTTCACCGGCTAGTTGCTAACTTTGTCTGTGTGCATTTTATTTAATTAATTTTTTAGTTGGTGAATGTTTCAGAGGTAGCCTGGGAACCAGACCAATCTGGCGAACTCATAATGTTTCATTTGTTCTGGCAGATACATCTGCCCACCCTTCTATTCAAGCAGAATTTCACCAGTCTTGGATTTGGTGGGGCCAATCACAACCATTTATGTAATATGGGG